TTCAAAAGATATTCTTCCATAATTTATCAAAGCACCAAGCTTATCCCAGGAATAATCAGAATCTTGTGAAGTATTGCAGCTTGCATTCTCAGAGAAACTTCCTGGTGCACCTTTTGGAGGTCTCTCTCGAAAACAAACTGTCTGTTTTACCTGACGCGTATACTCAAATATATAAATTCTATATCATTGTTTTTTAAAACTTGAGATGCAATTTATTCAATTGACAACTGGACAACAAGCTTTACACTATGGGAAGTTCTGGAGGTTCTGGAATCACTAAGCCTTTCTAAATAGCGCCACACCTTTCATTTCAAGTATAGTATCCGTCAATTGAAGTATATTTACTTTCATTGACAGAAATGCATGCGAATTTTGGTAACGCTCATTGAATAAATAGATCCTACATTTTGGGGAAACATGGTACAGTTGACAATGAATTTGCTAAGAAATCAGCATCCGATTGCCTCCATCCTCAATAAATCCAAGCGACAGCTTAACCTTATTGAAGGAGAAAATAAAGTAAAAAAACAATTCACACGTTAAGAGTGCTTACCGTCGGGTAATGGTCGCGGCGCATCAGACGGGACAGCAGGGCCAGGGCCACCAGTCATCGCCGCCAACGTTGCCGCCATGGCCTGGTCCAACGCGGAAGTGGATCCACCTCCTGCTTCACCACCGCCACCAGAATTCGGCCTGTAAATGAGTGAAAAAAAAAACATTATCACACCATAAATAAAATTAACTCGCATCACTCTCATTGAAAATTATTTCGAGGAAAAGTCGAAAGTTTTTCAAATTTCAATAAATAAACATATACTTTCAAATTATTTAGGGATGTCACCAAAAAGATTCAATTGACATACAATAATCTAACATCAAACTTCAGNGGTCAAGGAGAAACCAATGCAACTGACGCGTCGAATGAAACCGGAGCCTTTTCTCCGCGTTGCGCAGCTTCCTTCGTGAGACGCAGCTCCTCTGGCATTGACCATCTCGATTCCTTGGTCAGAACGTTGTGATAGTACGTTTTGCCACTGTCACTGGTGAACTCTCTCCATGGACACTGCGTAATGAAGGACTAAACACACAACGGATACATGGTTAATAAATTGTTGATGAACAATCAAACTATCATCATATACAGTGAGACCCCAAGATGCGGACATAATTGGTGCATCAAGAGTGTCCAAAAGTCAAAATGTCCCTAAGTCAAGTCTTGTTTTCCCATAGACTTACATTATATAATTTTAATTGGTGTTTTATGGAGAAAATATTCTTCAGAATTCCCTGAAAAAAAATTTTTGCCACTTGAATTTGTGAATACATTTTCAACTCAATAAGAAAATTTGGAGCATTGAATAGTCTATCTCTGTACTGTACACTGAAATTTTGGCATCTACAAAAATAACACTCGAGTGAAAAAAAAGTAAAAGTCCCTCTATGCTGGAGGTAATTTTTTTAAATAGCTAAATGGATGGTAATTTGATGAGAGAAATGCCCAAGAACTTTTCTTACATCAATTTTAGGGTTGGAAATATCTGTTTCTTGTAATTTGGCCTGAAATGTATTTGCAATTTTATCACAAAATGTCCCTACATCAAGTCAGTGTCCTCATGTTGGGCCTTATTCATCAAATTTTTTCTGGTAAAATAAGTGTCCCTATGTCGAATTTTCCGCAGGTTGATGTATCCGCATGTGGGGGTCTCACTGTATTTTTTTCAAAGGCTTCTCTCACTTCAGCAGGAGTCTTCATTTCATCCGGCTTGTCCCACGTTGACGCTTTTGTGACTGTGTTGTAATAATATTTTCTGCCATCCGGGGCTTCGTGTTCCGTCCAAACAGAGGCAGAACTAGACGAAAGGAAAAATGAGCAGAAAATTTAGCACAGTGAAACACACACAGATGAAACTTTCAGTTCTCTGATTTTGTTTGTCAAGCATCAGCAATCTTTCTTGAGTTTCCAGGGAGAGAAATCGATGGGAGACAGTGTGAAAAAAAATGGACAATGCCGCTGAAAAAATCAAATTTGTCTCTCATTTTCCCGAGAATGCTGTTTCAGAATTTCTCAGGGAAGACTTGCATGATTCCGTTGATGAAAATACAACCTAACCTCATCGAACAAACCCTAAATTCAGCTACCTGAAGCCAACCAAAAAAAAAAAAAAAACTTCACAAGTTCAAAAATTTCCAATGCGGAGACTCAATATGAATATGGACCAAAAATATCAATCGGACTGCAATTGACGAGGATCCTTAAAAAAAATGCTCTTGAGCCTTGCAATCGATTACTCAGTCATTCAAACAAATCAATCACAAAAATTGAGTAAATGAGGAAACTTTCTCACAAACCTAACCATTCAGCATTGTTCTGAGGATCAAAACTTTGATATGAACTGCTCAACAAATCTTGAGGGAATTTACACTTTTTTTAGAATAAAACGGCTAACTCAAAATTGTTTCCATCAAATTTCCACCGGAAGGAAAGGAAAAATCTTCCGCTGTTGTTCGAATGCTGTGAAAAACTTTCCCACAAATATGAACATAAAGCATAGAGCTGAGGGTCAAAAATTACTAGGAAGAAAACTTTTGATGTGAACTGCTCAACAAATCTTGAGGAAATTTCCGTTTTTATTTATTTATTTTAAATAAAACAGCAAACTCAGCATCCTATTCCTTAAATTTCTAGTTGGAAGAGAAGAAAAATCTTCCGCTGATGTTTGAATATGACAAACTTACTCACAAATCTAACCATTCTGCATCGTCTTGAGAAATCAAAATTACAAGGATGAAAACTTTGACATGAACAGCTCAAATAATTTCGAGGAAATTTATATTTTTATTCTAGAAATAAAAAAGCAAAATCAATACCATTTTCCTGAAATGTATAGCTAACCGAGAATCAATCTTTCGCTGATATTAAAAGGCTGTGCAAACCGAGACTTCTGTATCTTGGCAAGAACATTCCACAAGTCTACTAAATCTTTCTAAAATATCGTTAACATTAAAAACTCGTTACAAAAAAACCATTGGGACTCCTAAAATAGCTTCGTTACGACGAAACATTCCTTTTAAAGAAACTCAAATAGATATTGGACACGGACCTAAAAAAAAAAGAATTCGTCCAAAACGATTATTCGTTGTGATATTCGTTGTAACGAGATTCCAGCGTAGAACATAGAATCCGAAATGACCCAAAAAATAAAAATAGATTGCTCACCAAAAGTATCAATAAGAAAAAAAATAAAGATAAAAGCCTACCTTTCTCCTGGTTCACCAGAAGGAGCCCCACTTCCAGCGACATTTCTTATTTGAGGCTTGGCACTTATGACAGCATGGCTATCATCCCCTGCAAGAAAAATAAATAAATAAAACCTCAAGCGCCAAAAACACACGAATCATTCAACAAAAATTACTCACTCGGGACAAAGCGATTATGATGCCCAGCATTCATTATTAACCCCCACCGACACTCTTTTTCTCACCCTTCTAAGCACATCTGTGGAAACAAGGTCATACAGGAGCATAAAATTATTCAAATAACTAAAAAAAAAGGAATGAATAAATAAATGAATAATACATCAGTCCATGCGTCGAGGTTAGTCCAAATGTTATCTAGAAGCTCGCACTTGAAATACTGTACAAGCACAAATTTTGATGACTCAATACAATGCTTCCCTTACCGAGATTATTCCAACATGGGTAAATACAAATATTGGCACCACACCGCATTGTAACCGGAATGCCTTGAAAAAATCGAGGAAGAACAAAAAGACCCTTGATCAGAAAATTCCCTGCCCACAAATCACACATAGATTCAAGCCATCCAAATACAGATGCACCTAAAAATCGTGTTAAGAAAAATGGGGAAAATGAGTTACTCCATCACATCGTTCCTCGCGCAAAACGGCACTTGCAAGAACACACCAAAGACGGAAATGTGAGGCGACGGCCTCAATATTGAAAAAAAAAAAACATTTGCACGTCACGAGTCAAGTTAAAAAGGCAACGAAAATTATATACAATACAGTAAATAAGATACAAGCACGTCAACTTTTCTTTCTTCACGTTTCAAGATGTTTGGATGCTGTGAAAACGCTGGAAATGAGACGATCTGGTCTCTGGACGATGTTCCACATATGGCGGCACTTGTTTCGAAGGATCCTCGTACAGCTTCTTGTCGAACATTTCCCGCCATTTCGGACCCAAGGGGTATTCATAGTTGATCAGAGATGATCCGATCATTTCTACGCTGTATCCTGGGGCCTACAAGGATAAATAGTGTCATCGATGATCATTCGGAGACAAGGAATCGAATAATCGCTTTCAAATTGAGCTTCACGAGCCTTTTTTTGACCTTCCGCATCTCTTCTGGGAACATATTTTAAGCTCACAGGCTTTAATGCCGACAATAAATATTTTAAAAAAGTTGGAGCAGAAAAAAAAAATCTATCTGGAGATCTCAATTCATAATTTGTTTTTATAATTGAAAAAATGTGAAGTTATGCTTATCTCAATTCATTTTAAACAAATTTTAGATGTCGAAGTGAGGCCACAACATAAGGACAATTTGACTAACGAAAACTTAAGCTAAAATAAAAGCATATTAGGACCACGTATCTAGACACGGAAATTTTCCCACAAATTCTAGAAAATGGTAAAATTAATTTTTTTTTAAATCTTGATAGCTCTTGAAAAATGTGCGCTACTTCTTTTCACAAAAATTGAAGATGATCTGATTGCTTTTGATAAAGTCACTAAAATTTATAATCATTCAGCAAGGCTAAATTTTCCCTTTTTCATCGGTTTTCCATCATTCTGCAGAAAAATGAAAAAAATAATAATGTTTTTGCTTGGTATTCATTCATTTGAGCTACTGTACAGTATATTGAAAACACTCAAAATAAATCTTATAAGTTTACTCCACTTGATAATCCGAAATAGGATAATTTTGTGTTTATCTTTCAAGGGTTTTTCCCATCATCAAGCTCCTTTCCACGCCAAAAGGCCACATTCTGCGTTACTTTCTTCTGCGCAGTCATTTTCTGCATCTCGAAGTTAAAAACAATTCGGAGGGGGGATTTTTTCAGATTTTTGAGCAATAGGAGAACCAATTAAATATGTTCCGATTGAAGTCCATGGAAAAACGTAATCTGACATGCGGACATTCCGACACGGGGACAAGGTCCAAGCACGAATTACGTCCACATCTCGAAGCCTCACTGAAGTACTGTAGAGTAATGTACTAACTTTTCAATAAAAGATGCAACGCGTTAGACGTGTCCCTAACATTAACAACTTCAACAAAACTGAGGCGGCAATGAGAGAAGTTACCATTGACACTGAAAAAGTTGGAGAACGGCTCAATAAAAAATGACTGACGACGTAACTGGACACTGACAAAGCGAACTTGACGCACATTTCTCGTTTACACTTGATCGTGAGGAGTGTCAAGAAAATTCAGACGGACAACAACAACGAAAAAATATTTCCAACAATGATTTTTTTTTTACGAAATTGCGCAAGTTATTCAGGATTCTCATCATATCACTCACATCAGGCACGATGTAGCAACCATGCTTGATTCTCGCGGGCTGAATGAAATGCTCGTGCAAGTGATCAGCGTACTCGGCAACCGAATGCTTCAAGTCGCCCGAGATGCAAATGAAGTTGAAGATGGCGAGATGTTGGATCATTTCACAGAGCCCGATCCCACCTGCATGGGGACACACAGGGACGCCAAACTTCTTCGCCATGAGCATCACGGCGATGTTCTCATTAATCCCGCCAACGCGGCAAGCATCAATTTGGCAATATTGCATCCCGCCAGACTTGAAGAGCTGCTTGAACATGACGCGGTTGTGGCAATGTTCTCCAGTGGCGACACCTATGCCAGTGTCTTTTAATGCCTAGAGTGAGAAGTAGAATCAATTAATCCAACCTTTCTTTGCCGGTCTGCGGGAAATTTTCTTCAGAATATTGTAATTAAATTTATAAAAAGTACCTATGAAATCTGTGGTCTTCATCTGAAATTTCAGAAAGACAATGGTAGTTGAAATTATCAGATGAAAATTAAAAAATGGCTTTTCTCCAAATAATACTTCAGAAAAATGTGCACCTCCTGAAATAAATTACTTTAATTTTTCCTTTTGAGAAACCTTTCTTCAAGCCCACCTTTCTAATCTTTGAAGACATTCCAATATAGCTGCTTCATTTCTTCTTGACTCAATTCTTGCAAAAGAAACAGAAGCTTTTAAAATACCTGCCACAAAGTCTTTCAAAGAACACTTTTTTGAGTCTGCAGGCCCAAATAGGTTGGGGAACCCATTCCCTTCTTCTTAATAAAAATTTCCCTAACTTGACAAAATACGTGTTCCTATCTTGAAAGTTTTTTTTCAAGTGACGCAGAACACTGACATTCATAAAATTATTGATGTGAGCAAAAATTCGCTCAATTCAGAATTGCAATTTTAAAAATGCACGGAGTCTTGCTTTAACAATTTTCACACAACCTCCAGAGGTTCGGGGATTTATGACTCGAAAAAGTCAATTTTAACGCTTGGAAAAAATTCTTCAACCATCCCTTGGACATCCAACAAGGTCTCATCGAGGGAAAAATGCAGTGACTAAGAACTCAAGGGTACAAATTTTTCAAGATAAAATCCTTTCCATTCATCATTCGAAATAACTCCTACAAATTTAGACGAACCTGCGCGACTTTGGCGTGTCCGAGGATATCATCAGGAGAAGTTGGTTCTTCAATCCAAACTGGCTTGAACTCGGCCAGTTCCTTGACCCAATTGATGGCCTGATCGACCTCCCAAACCTGATTCGCGTCAATCATCTGACAAAACAGGAGATTTTTCATGAGAAACAAAAAGCTCAGCTGAGTTTCTGAATGAAACGCAAAATAAACTTACCAGTTGACGATTGTCTCCAATGATGCTTCTGACGAGCCTGAGTCTTTTCTTGTCCTTTTCTAAATCCTGCCCGACCTTGATCTTGAATTTGCTGAATCCGGCTTGCATGGAAATGAGTAGATTGTTCCGAATCTTGTCTTCGTCATACCCTATCCAACCTGTAATTTCGGGAGAGTGCGTTGAAAATAACAATGGATACCACGAAGAAAGAAAATTATTTCCGAAACGGAGATTTCAACGAACAGTAGAAAAGAGTATTTTCGCACGTTTGGATAAAAAATCAAGCAAAAGGATAATCTTGGGTCGTCCTCCACGACAAAAAGCATGTTTCAAAATAATTTTCTTACACCATGAAAACAGTGATTTTCACCAACATTATGTTTTCGTGCATCAGTGATGCACTGAAAACTTATTTCAGTTTCAACATTTAAAAAAATGATTTCTAGCAATGTCTCGAAACTACAGTACCAGCTCCCGAAAAACAGATGAAATTGAACATCATTTTGTGCAACAAGACGTTTCAAAAGCTTTTAAAATTGCACTAAAATTACTCAATGATCGAAATGTAGAACGAATCGGTGCACATTCTTCTCCTGAATTTCCGTTTTTAAAAAATCAAACATCTCTAAATCTACATAATACAAACAAAATTTGCTTAATTACATCTAGAAATTAAATTTCCTTTTTAAAAATATGTACAAAAGGAATTCCAATTCTTTTACATGCTTCTCAAATCTTTAAAAAAAATGATCTGGAACAATGCGTTGAAATAGTTCACAAAAATGGTTAAAATAATCGTGAACCTTTTTTGTACTGTAGTACTATCTTCGGAGAAATTTTCTCGTAGATCCTCAAGAGGACTTCGAAAATCGGCGCCTACGTCATTAAAAACACGTTGAAAATCCACGGACTGACGGCATTAAAAAGAAGATTTTTCATTAATTTAGTCAAGATTTCTCCCCACGACTAAAAACCTCGAAAATTATTAATGCAGGACACCAACCGCTAGACGTGGTGTAACAAGGGTATCCAGAGGAACGAATCTCCTCCTCTCTTTTATCTTTCCCTGGTACCATCGAACGTAGGATTTCCAAGGCTTCTTCCTTTGTCAGGGCATCTTCCCTGAAAATAAATAAAACCAGAAAAAAAAAACTTCCGTAACGAGAAAGTCACACGCGTAAATCAAGCTCGTACAAGTAGGTGAAATCCACGCAAGAAACAAGTTCTTCTGGGGTCAGATCCGTCAGGAGTTTCCAGATGGGCTTGTTTTGAGTGCGACCCCAAAGGTCCCATACAGCATTGACGACAGCACTCGCAGCAAGATGCAGAACTCCTTTCTCTGGGCCCAGCTAATCAAAGATGGTATTTTTAATGCAGGGTAATTCACAATAGATGGAAAGAGGAGCGGAATACGTTCTACAATTCCGATTTACAGTATTTCCGCTTCCTTTCAGTATTTTTTTTTGTTTGTTTTCATCGACGCTTGAAATAGTTTTCTGGAATGTCGGACAGGTGTCACTTGACCTGTTAATGAGACGAAAGCGTCTTGAAAAAGTTTCTGTTTGAACCCATTTTCGGAGCATTATTTGAAAATCAGTGGATTGGCGAAATTTAATTCAAGACAAAGCATTCTTCTCGTATTCCCAGAAGCTCAGAAATATACCCAGAAAGACTCATCTTTAAAAAATGCTAAATCTTTCAAAATAGTACTGTATCTAACAAATCTTCAAAAATGACATTTCCTTCTCGCAGTCCAACTGAAAGTTGAGGAAATACACGACAGTCATTTGAATTGATGTCCGTAATGATTCGCCCGATTTACGGAAGCACGAGGGGATCAACATACAGTACCGTTATAATGAATATTCAATTAGGCGAATAATGAAATTCAAAATTACAGTACAGGGTTGAGATTTGCTTACGCTCATTTTGAGGCTTACTTCAATTGGCTAGGCAACAAATACACTAAATAAAACCGCTTGTATTCTTTGTGCGCAATAATTAAAAAAAGTTCAGTTGCTGAGACATCTATAACTTCTTATTTTTTTCCGCTAAGGTCGATTTACATACAGAATAATGAGAATCTATAATGAAGCACTTTCATTTTTCTCTTTGCAAGACATACGAAACCAACTTCGGAAAATTTCAGGACTTTAGAAAAACCCTAAAAACCCATCAACATTCCAATTCACTCACTTCCTTCGAGCTTTCGCTTTCCAGAGCAACCGAAGGCAAGACCTGTGAATCTGCACATTACTTTTCACACATCTCGAACAACATATGACGAATAAATTATCTCGGAAACAATCCAACAAGGAACAATTGAAAATTGCTAACATTAATCACAATGCATTAAAAAAACATCACAACGACATAATCATAATGAATTACATCAAGATCAGGCCTCAGGTCACTCAAATCACGAACTATTTTTGTCATCAATTATCTAATGAAATTGTATGAACCAACAAAACCAAGCCTAAAATAGCAAAACACCAGATCTAATCTAACATCCAAAATTACCTGCGCGATTTAAAATCACTAACTTGATACTGTATAACCCAACACACGTTATAACCACACTGAACACCCAAAATAACCCAACCGAACAACCTTTATAACCTAAATGAACACGTGACCGGATCTAAGAAAACCTAACCTAACACAATAAAGTACATATATTCCAACAACACCTAACCTAATATAATCAAAGAATACCTAACTTGACATTATCCAACAACATCTAATTTTTAATGTACTGTACTTCAACACCTGCCCAAATTTGACTGAAAACAAAACCCAATCTCCTAAGAATTAAATACTGTAATTTAAAAAAGACAACCCAAACGAATAAAACACCAATCATAACCTATCGTATTTACGCAAGTACCACATGCCCTCACGTAAAACACGCACTGCGATTTTCCAGTTGAAAATGTGGATGAAACCCTACACCCGAGTAAGATGTGCACCCAATTTTTAGAATCTCTAAAAAGTAACCACAATATTTCAAAAATGAGAACACTCAAGTCTGAATTTCGACATGAATACATTAACTGTCTACAGTAATTTTCAACCGAAATAAATTTCATTGTTAAACTGGAACAAACATTCACCATTAGAAGCAATCATAATAGACATCTAAGTCTTCGAAACTTTTTGAAAAATGTGTACCCACCTATGACACACACACCCCATTCTTTCCTATCAAATTTGAGAAAATATTGTGGTACTCAAGTAAATACGGTAATTGAAGACAGTATATACCAACCCCAGCAAGTACCTATAAGATGTGCACCTCATTTTCAGCAACTCAAAAACCACAATATTTAAAAAAAATAGGAACACCCAAACCGGAATTTAGACATGGATTTGACTAATTTTTAAATTTTTCATACAGAAATAAGTTTATCTATTAAACTTGAACAACATAGAATATCTTACCGAACACCTAACCCAATCTAACGACACCTAACCTAAACTCGACAGTGCATTCCAACTCGGTTCCAGATTTACGACAGTACATTTTTGAACTCACCCAACGAAGTTGAGAGTCGTTTGTCAGACGACGCGAGAAGGCCCCAAAGTCCTTGACGATGGCCTCGAAATCTTGGCCGACCACGAGATGGGCCAACGATCGGATTGCCTGAACAACTGCATTTCGCGAAGCGTTAGATAAACCATTCTTTCGGCGCACGCGGCGCAATGAACAGCTTGCCTATTTCCGTCCCTCTTCCGATCGTGAAAGAAAGACCGAAACCCTTGGCTTCCGAGTCCGTGAAAAGCACGACATAGGCGCACGAATAATCCGGATCCACGTGCTGAAAGAAAGAAAATTCGATAACACCCAAAAATGTAGAAGGAAGTCGTTAACAACAGAGAAGAACTCCCTAGGCATATTTAAAATTTTGATACAAGTTTGCGGGGAAGGTTTGAAAATTTGCTCATACATTCAAATGATCAATTAATTCTTCTTCTCATCTTTAAAGAAATGGGCGTTTTAAAAATAAAAATAAAAATTCGAAAACACTCAAAATGTATAAGAAATTCGACATCAAAAAACTCCGCGGGCATCTTTAAAATGTCAATTTAATTTCGTGGGGAAGGTTTGAAAATGTGCTCATACATTCAAATGATCACCAATTAATGCTCCAACTCATTGTTAAAGAAATGGGCGTTTTAAAAATAAAAATCGAGAACACCCAAAATGAAGAAGAAATTCGACAACGAAAAAACTCCGGAGGCATTTTTACAATTTCGTGGGGAAGGTCTGAAAATGCGCACACATTTATCATCAATTATTTCTTCAATTCGTCATTGAACAAACATACCTGCGCGTCAGATCCGTCGAGTCGTAGTGACGTGGGGAACCGAATATCCCGAACACTGATTCCCCTGATTCGCATGTTGAATCCTGTCTACGTCAAATACATGTACTGAAGAAAAGGGAAGAAAAAATAACAATCAGTTAAAAAGCACGAGAAATCCCGTTTTTTGTTTCGTGTTCCGAAGTAATCACTCGTAGGTTTTTTTTCCTTACAATTGTTTTGCTTCCGTCATCTCCAGCCCTGAGCGCTTCCGACAATGTTTTCTACTCCCGAGAATCCCGACGACGAATTTTATAAGCCGAGTGCATCACGAACGCGTACGAATAAAGCTTTAGCTCAGATTAATCCACAATTCTTCAATTTTACATAGCTCGTTATGAATCAGAAAAAAATTTCAAGGAAAACTCCTCGTACATCCGAAGTTCTCTCCAGAATATAACATTTTTTAAGTAAGGAATCAAACCTGCTGACAGGAGACATTTTCAATTTTAGAAGAGAACCCAATTTAAAAAATGGAGCATTGCAATGCAGTGTCATTACAAGGAACACATTCAAATCCATCTTTTGAAAAACTTTTCAAGCATTGCTCCAGAGTTTCTTCGAATCTTGCCCAACATGGATTACATACCGAACGATTAAGATTACTCAAGATGATCATGACGGGTAAAATTACTTCACCGTAATGGGAGATTTCTTCACCAAGAAGGCACAAGTTCCATACACGGATGGAATACGGTATTCCTTTTTTGTCACAAAAATCGAAGATTCAAAAGCCTAGCACACTTATTCTTACACTATTTGTTAGACTTCTTCGCCACTAATTTCACGGGTTCACCGTTCACCCTAAAATCGCAAAACTTTTGAAAACTTTTGCGCTTTTTGTAAAAACAAGGGACATCAAAAAGAAAAAAAAAAAGTTCACCACATCCCGACATCGGAAAAACTATTCCTGAAAGACCATCAGGAAAACGCATAACCTCGTGGCAGAGTTTCTTCGCTTTTTTATGGGAATATTAATGGATATCCGTGACTCAACACTAAGATCTCCTTCAGAATGGAAATTGAGTCTGACGGAACTTCTCAAATTAAAAATTATTCGATTACTATAAATCAATACACTATAAGAATGCAGATTATTTTTCTCACTAGGAACGTTTGAAGATAAAACGCTTCAGATTTTAACATACGGTATGCACTTGATTTTTTCGTTTCACCAAATGTCGCCTGAATAGAAGTTGAATAAATTTAAACCAACAGAAATTGAACAAAAAAAAACCTGTAAGATAGTGAGGGTCAGTAATCTTACACAAGAGATGTTACAGAGGACCCCAAAAAGTTTTCCTCCATCAAATTATATTCTAACCTGACAATGTTCACCAACTCACATTAATTTATGCTTTAAATATGGCATGATCTGTCGTAAATTCTGTAACCAAAAAGCGTAAACAGCATTGCAACTTATTGTAAACGTGTTCATCAGCGTGCACGTAACTCCGGTTTTTCGTTTGTGTCATTCACTCGATAGCTTGTTCAGACAACATAAACCAGACCAACGTAACCAAAAAACCATCAGCCCTTAACTTCAAAGATACTTTTGTTGAAGGATGGTAATTGATAAAACAAGACCATGTTGCTTTGACTGTAATACATGAATATCAACACTGAAGCACTGGTGAACAATTAAAATTTATAGAAGCCTTCAGCAGATTCTAACAACCTAGGAATGTTCTTTGGGGGAATGAATATTAAATCCGTATCATCCACTAAACTTGGAAGAAAAAAGCGAAGATTGAAATACAGTATAATCTTGAAATTAATTTTATAGCCCATAATCCCACGAAGTCACGAAACAGCAAATATTTTGATGAAGATTGCTCACTTGCTGATCAAATGAAATATGTCGTAAAGTGAACTTTATTACAGGAATCGTGGCAGTAGATTAATGGATTAAACCTTACTAAACGTTAGGAAATTCGGGCAAGACCTATCTTATGAGAAGAAAAATCGCTAATCTGGGGATGTCGGACGTTAAGGAGAAAAAGAAAACACGGAAACCCGAATTAGCCATTTCAAAAAGGCCGAAAAAAAGTGGGGCACCAGAAAAGGGACAATTCAATTTTCCCGCATGCTCAAAATCAGTTCAACGGCAGCAGCAATATCTCCATGGGTGGCTTCGAGCGCCTGCAGGTTCTCGGCAGCGTTGAAGAACCCCAATTCCTCCAGGGTCCGAATTTGTCCTTCGCGCTCAGCTGTCACTCGCGGAGCGGCAGGTTCTGCCGGCGGCGGTGGTGGTGGCGGCTCTGCTGGCGAAGGTGAGGGCGATGTCGTCGGCGCCGCCGCCGCAGAAGCACCACCTTGGTTCGCCGTAGCCTGTACGAAATAAACTGGTCATTCGACAAAGCACTTTTTTTTCACGAGACCACATAAAATTATCGCAATTTCCGAGTATTCTCTCTACATAAAAATCGGTCTAAAACAGCTTCACAAGTATTTCTTTCGTCCTAATTCATAGATTGCCACAAATTTTCCTCAACAAAAATCAGAAATTGGATTGAACACTCCATTTCATACAATGCAATCCAACGACCATGAATACAATTTCCAAGCTGAAGTTTAAACGTACAGAAATACGAAATCAAAATCGAGTACAGTAGTTCCACTTTTTTCTTTTTCAACCAATACGTCGCTAGCCTCGTTTATTACTTGTTTCTCCTTTCCATCTGAATCCTAATGAAAAAATTCCTTCCAGCGTAAAAAATAAAATAGTATAGCATCCAACTGGAATGGCGGATTTTCAGACATGAAAACCCAATCCTACAATTGATACTACAGTATAACGATTCTGAAAACTGTCAGTTCAAAGATTGCCGATTGGTTCACCTGGTCAATGGCGGCACGGAACATTTCTCGCGTCACCAGGGGCTGCGTGGGCAATGGGACGCGACGATGCTGCGGCGAGGGCGACCCTTCCGATGCGATGCGTCGCAGTGCCGCCGCCAGCTGCGCCGACGTCACAAACTGACGACTCAAAGAAGACGATGACGAGGACGTGGATGACGACGTCGGCGCCTGTGTCCGCTGTTGCCTCGACGAACTCGATCCGCTGCTTCGACTGTCGCTCTGACTCCGAGGTCTCCGTCTTCTCTGACCTCTTTGTTGTTGTTGCTGTTTGCACACGAACACCAAAACACGTGAAGATGAGTCGTTTTAAAAATTGCACACTTCTGTCGTTGGATTTGTGTTTGATGGACGCTATTTAAACTTGAGTGATGACTACCGGTATTTTTCTACCAAATTTTGGCTCACAGAGTTAACATAAAAAATTAGAGGAAAGGCGTCTATTTCATGAAAAAAGGTCAACTTCTACAGCGTTGATAAATGTTTAAAATGGCAAAAAGCTATCACATACTCCAACTGATCAGCAGTACTGTACTAAAACTTGCGACGACTGCGCTCGACTTCTATTTCATCAAAAAGAAAAAATTCTGCCTCTGTATACCACATAATTTCAGCTTGAGCGCTTTCTTTCGAATTGATCAATAATTTGAGGCATTAAAATTTGAAATTCATACGGAGCGCTGGCATAATATTTTAGGATGTGCTTGAATTTTGATACCCTCGTTGACTTGGAGCTCTGAAAATTATTCGGTTCGGGGAAAGACACCCTGTCGATGGCATTTCTCGGATGGCGGGATTTCTAAGATAATCGAAATACATCATAATACAGTACAGTACTGTAAAAGCAGATTCTCCGTCTCTCCAAAACGATTTTCTCTGTACAAAGATTTTGTCTAGTACCATAATTTTTATTTTTTTTATTTTATAGGTTCCGTGAATTATTACAGGTGGACTCTCGTTCTTCGCATGACAAATTTTTTCAGGTCCCTTAAATCTTAAATGTCGATTTCATTCTAGGGCGAATTTTTTCTAGTCACCTAAATTTCTTTGTTTTATCTCCTTACGATGAATTTTGTTCTTACCCTAAATTTCGTTGTATAGAGAGCTTGCCTGTGGTAATTGACAGAACCAATAAAATTAGCCTTTCCTATGAGGAAAAAGCTTTTTCACCTGTTGCTGAGGAGACGGTCTCCCGCGGGATGACCTGGGTCTTGCACCAGTCCCAGCTCCCGCCGACGAACCCCCACCACCACTACTGCTACTTGGCAAAGCTGAATCGTCTTCCCCTGCAGCAGCACGACCATCTCCTCCACTGGCTCCAGCAGCAGTGGCAGAAGCCGTCGCTGCTCCACTGCCATCCTCAGCGTCTTCTTCTTCCTCGTCCTCATCTTCGTCTTCCATAAGTGCACTTTGGAAATCCTCGTCATCGTCCAAAGAGTCAAGGTCGAGACCGCTCTCGTCCCGACTCCCAGCTGCGCCAAGCACACTGTTATGAGGATCACCATGCATCGATCCGCAAAGCAGCTCCAGTGCTTCGATCAAACAGTGGTGCTTTTTCCACAAAACCTAGGCATGGAGACGAAAATTATATTTAAAAAAAATAGTACCCCGGGTAATGGACGCATTGCATAAAGGGTGTTTTCGATCAACGGACACGGGCTACCGCCGAATCTTGCTGCAAACAGCGGATAACTGATTCAGTGAAACGATATTCCAGATGGACCAGAATACCGTATAAAAAGTATACGTTCAATATCTATCAGCCTCACACGTGGACAAAACATCCGGGGTTACTCGGCAGACGATCAGACGACTTACGCGATTCAGAAATGTTTCAAATCTTTTTAAATTCCTCGGACCGAACACAACCTAGTTTCCCAAAGCAGACATTCATCGCCAAAAACAGAGTATAGGACAGTAGTCGGAGCTGGTCCCCCAAACTAGGAGAGCTCCCGATAATTCATCAGCCTTTTTCAAAATTTCTCCCCATTTTCTAAGGTAATGTAATTTTTCATATCTTGGCACTGTATTAAAGAAGACTGTTGCACATCAGGAATGGTCGGCATACAACTCAAAGAAATCAATTACTAATTTCAAATGATCAATTCAGATGCCAAAAAATCGGGGCTAGTTGAAATCACCAGAGAAAAAAAGGAGGACGTTTCAAGAGACTAAAATGCGATTGAATAAAACAATTGAAATGGGACTCATGGGCGCTTTTAAAAATACCCTTCGATACTCTAAACACGCCTTACGAACAGAATGAATACTTCACCTTGCAAGCTTCAAGTCCAGACGCAGCAAAAAGAAGCAACGGATCGCTCATTAAGGCAATAGCAGTACGATCCTCAGCAAGTCCCGGAGTCGCAGCAACGATATTGTCCACCTTGTCTCCGCGCAGAATTTGTGCCCATGAACAACGGTTGAACCTCGGATACACCAAAGCCACTTGCAAAGCCAACACGAGTCGCGATATGCGTTCATTGTCCACTGGCGGAGCCGGCGTTTTGAAATCTGTCGGTTGCGCTCCAGAAACGTGCATCACGTGAACGGTGGAGTTGTTCTCCAGTCCAACCCCATCCACGGTGTCTTCGTCATCCAGCGTTTGACCACGATACAAGACCTGGAACCTGTCCTTCGCCACCTTCAAATAATCCGCGATATTCTCGCGTAGTTTCTTTATTGCGTTGTCCACGCGAGTAGGCATGATCATGAAGTGGGTCTCAACCGGTGTTTGTTCTCCAGCCCAAGCTTTCCACGCATCCGGGCCCGGTGTACAGTCCGCTTCACCATTACTGTTGCTTTGAGACTCATCCATCGAAGCACTTTTACTCAGAACATTATCGTCCGCGCGAGGACGAACGCGGATACGAAGCAACAGCTCGTCCACCATTGTCCGAAATTTCACGAACGACTCAACAACGACATCGTCACTGTGGAAAGGAACGCAGAATGATAAAAATGTCAACAACGCAAGGGCTTACACTTGATCGAAGTACGAATCCCAGCGATACTGCAACACAACAATAAGGTGTTGAATAAATAGTAGACCTTTCTCCACAAACACACTTGTAATATTTCTTGAAGTCAGCAACACAAATAACACACAGGTCAAAGTTCAGAGATGATGTCGAGTCAAGAGCTAAAGTCAGAATGCCAGTCCTCTCCTGCCGTCCGGGCCTCCTGAGGTGGTTCCTCCAATGGTGCAAGAGATAAGGAAGAACTGGGTGGGTTCTTGGGACGTTAGGACTTTCTCCAGTAGGGTCGCCTAGGTGTCGCTCTAGTCGGTAAGGGACGGGCCTTACTCAACTGTCCTTGCAAGAATATTTTCACCTGTGCGAGTATCAAAGAGCAAGATGAATTCGCAAAGAAAAATTTCTCGCAAATCAAGTGAATTAATTGTAACTGAACCAGTAAAAAAAACAAATCCAACCTAATCATAGGATTTGCGGTACTTATACAGTATAATATTCTACCCATTACATGCATACTTAAAATGTATAGTATTTTGGGGGGGGGGGGAGATCAATAATGGACTGAAGGTTACTCATTCCAATAAGCTCTAGGCTGAGATGGATTTCAACGTTTCAGAGTTCGTTTTTCTTGCATTTCGAAATATTGAAGTTTTCAAATCGTAGTTGGAAGTGACAATAAAATATTCCAGTTCTAAAATATGTCCCTGCGTAATGTATTATTTTACACATGGTTCAGTACTTGAATACAGATGTTAAATGTGACAAGACAATTTTGCTTCAAGATTTGTTAAATTTTCCCAGGGCTGACGAGACTCCACTGGATATCTCTGGAGTCCAAATACCACCAAAATACAGCTTCAAAAACACTGACCATGAGACAACATTAAAACTCAGGATACCAATGAATACACGGATGTTCTTTCAAATTTGAATTTAATATACTGACCCAACGTCAAGGCATGAATTGAGCAAATGGACATTCATCATTGGTGTACCAATGAAAATGCGATTACGCACGCATTAAATAAGCTCGACGCGGACAGATGATTCTTGCACTTCTCATAAACGGCTGAATTTGAACATCTTCACGTATCATCAAAAATGCCAATTATCCGTATATAAACTAAAATGCCTCTTTAAAATTGAGCAAAATTGGACAAATCCATGGATTTTTTTCTCTTTGAACTCTTGTGTCTTGCGCGTTTCTGTTTCACGGATCACATTTTCCACATTTCCGCCTCGAGTCGCAGCTCCAAATTTCTGCAAAATTGAAAAAAAAAACACAAATTTCAACTTTACACTTTTCTGTGCATCTCACTTCCGACATCAATCCAAGCAGACACGTGCAAACCTCACCGTCAACGTCCCTTTAATTTTCGCACATGCATAGAACACCGCGAGCACCGAGTTTGTGTTCCCTGATTTATTGCTTCTGTAAAATACCATCTCCCAAACCGTCGACCCGTGCATCCAGTAAAAAGGCACTATGAGAAAATACCGCGAGAAGAAAATGCCAAACGAACAAAAAATGGACACCGGAGAAAAATTTTCAAAACAAAAAGAAATACACACTGTGTACGCTTTGTTGCTGAATTTAGGCTCAAAAACAGGTTTCATTTTGGATTTCATACCCTGTCACATGTCATTCTTTTATAATACAGCGCTTTCAAGTAATTACGGGAAAAAGGGCATACCTTCAATTTTAGTCACGAAAACTAAGAAACTACGTTAGATCACCCTGCACAGTAATCAAATCCCCTCAGAAAATTAAAGACCCGGTTCATATTTCTTTCTTCTGCGTCAATATCAGCGATAAATTTCATTGTCAGCCACAAAAAGTTTTCTCCGCTGTCCTTGGTCGATGTGGAATTCGATCCGGCGTAAATTTTTTCTGTAAGGCATTTCTCCCGACACCAAAAAAATAACAAAAAAGTATCTTAAACTGCCAATCGATCGTCATGAGTATAAAAAGCTACAACTAAACAACCAGTCCATTAGAATGGAGAGTCCACCGCGTCAAAGGCCATATTCGCGAGTTCTTGCGACATCCAAGGCTTGTCGTGGCCAAGAGAAAACCAGAACAGCATTCATCTGAAATAAAAGCGGCCGAAGAGCACGAAATTTCGTCAGAGGAAAAGGCGGAAATGAGAGAAATGGGGGAAAAAAAAATGGTCCTTCCAAGCAGCAGTTCACAAAGCCAAGCGATAAAAAAATATGCATATGCATAAACCACGACTAGCCATTCCCTAACTGAGCACGCAAGACTCATATCACAAAACAAGTCATGGTTTTTTCCACAAAAAAAAACACAACGTCAGGCAATCATCACAGCATCATCAGGCATTCCGCACGCCGGGTTCATTCAACCTTTGGTATTCTGCGTAAACTCGTCGTCGACGACACAGGATCCAGGAATGGTATGCCATGAAGGAGCCACACGTGGACAACCCGACGAATATCATCATCAGGCATTCCGCACGCCGGGTTCATTCAACCTTTGGTATTCTGCGTAAACTCGTCGTCGACGACACAGGATCCAGGAATGGTATGCCATGAAGGAGCCACACGTGGACAACCCGACGAATAAGAAAACGAGGAAGCTGAAAAGCGTGGAAGACATCGGTGGGCCTGGTTTGTCCTCGGGTAATGCGTTTGTAGCGTTGATCATGAAGCCAAGGGCCCAGCCAACATCAGTTCCATTCGGAGTCTGAAATCAGACCCAAAATGGTATCGATTATGCACACTGAAAAATGTTTCAAAAAAGAAAAAGAATTGCCGAACGAACAAGAGCACGAAGTAGCACGCATCAATACAACGTCTGAGAAGAATTTGGTTCGGACTCCAATTTCACGAGTAACCATCAAAAGATGAATTTTCAAGTTCAAAAATGAAAAAAAGAGCAAGTTTAACAATAACCATCGAGACTTCGCAATCTCGTTCTTGTCACTGCTCTTCTGAGCAATTTATTCTTTTTTCTTTCCACGACACGCTTTCGTCTTCACTCGCTTTTTTTGTGAAATTGCTAAACATATTCAGACCTATCAAAGTACTGTATACGAAAGAGCAAGTTCAACAATAACCATTGGGACTTGCGATTCCATTTTCGTCACAGCTCTTCCCAGCAATTTTATTTTTTTCATTTTTTGCACGACACGCTCACGTCTGGACTTGCTTTCTTCTCTGAAATCGCTAAAAAAAAAATTCTGAACTACCGAAATACTGTACTGTACACTAAAAAAACTTTCAGACTTCATCTCACTTTTACGAACTTCTGCTCATAAGCGGATTTCAATAAATCGAAGCGTAGCGCGAATTTAAAATCTATACTCACGGGCAGCTTCCGTCGGAATTCGATCAACTTAAATTCCTCCCCACTGTAAGGCATTAACAGGGCGTTTTAGAACATTTAGTCTTTTCGGAGTTTCGTCTTGTGCACAAGTTAGAAGAGGGGCCGAAACGGACGCATGTTCAGGCTGTAGCAGACTATTCAAGCTGACGTTTCGTCCAGGGCAGCCTCATAGAAAGTCTCTTCAGACACGGATGATGGGAGCCCCAACTCGGAAGCGGCATAGTAGAAGATTGAAAAGGCCTGCGATATGAGTTGTTACAATCACATATCGTGATCACGAGAAGATACAATTCAGCGGAAACGCTTACAATGAACGAGGTTCCTTCAATACGAGGCGGTACAGTCGAAGAGTTGAAGCAAAAATTTGAGTATTTGTTGCATTCTTCCGCACTCAGAAGTTCGTCAATGGTTGCACTGCATTCGGTTTCGTTCCACGCTCCAACAATCGGCACAGTTTCAGAAGTCTAGACAAGAAAACAAACAATACAGTGGACCCTCGGTTAACAAACTTACTCAGTTGCAGACAAAAGCTTGTTAAATACATTTTATTTTACCATAGACTTCAATGGAGAATCGATTGATCTCTTCCTGGGACTCAAAATACAATTGAAAATTTAATGAAAAAAAAATGCAGGACAAATATGTAATCTGAGTTATTGCAGCATCAATTGTGCATGTTCATAATGTTTTCTAGGGTTTCATGGAAGTATGACCAATGAAAACAAGACTAAAAAAGCTTCACATCCAGAAAAACATTCACACATGAGTAGGATAACTCACCAGAAAGTGGAATGTTAATTTTTAAATTGCGTAACTAACAAATAAATTCAGCAATTGAACAGTGGAAACAAATGGAAAAATCGGTTTGAAAGTGCCTCCGTACACGTCTTTTTACAGCTGGATATCATTTTTTATAGATTATGCTCAAACAATGGAATATCCATGGCACCCACTAATTTACTCTACTGTATTGATGTTGAACAACCTTTGAAAATATTGTGTTGGCCTTTGGTCTGCCCATTAATTTTTCTGCTTGCTTTTTTCCATTGGAACTGCAATTAGATCCTACTACAGTTCAGTTTCATAACCAAATTTTGAATTTTTTTTCCTGGGAACAAAAGTTTTGACCAAATTCTAGTTTGTTCACTCGAGGATTTTCTTTGAGGACAAACATTTGTTAACTAAGAAGTTTGTTGAATGAGGGGTTTGCTGACTGAGGGTCCACTGTAATGAATCTAAAACTTACAAACCACTTCTGTTCCACATCAAAATTCATCCTAAGACTGGAGTATTTTTGCGTTTAAAACGGGTTTCATCAGTGCATCTCCAACACTGCATAAAACTACACGCAGCACCAGGAATTTCATGAATACTTTTTGGGTTCTTTGAAATCAAACAGAACACACGCAGGCTTTTGTTAGAAAAGCCAGGTCTCAGAAAAGCTTTAAGCAAATAATGGCAGGTCCCTAATAGTGGGGTCAAAGAAGTGGGGGGTTATGGAAAAAAATCCTGAAAATTTCCTCATTAAAATAAAAATCGTTTACACCCATTTATTAAGAGCTGAAGAAAGAATTACTTTACATTTTTGATAGCAGGGTTTTTTCATTTTCGAAAAACAAAGTTGATCACAGGGTTTTCTATTTTTTTATCAGGAGTTTCCCCGTTGATTTCTCTTGTCTAAATGACAGTCTCTATTAAACGCCGGGAGAAAAATTTGGTGAAGGTATTTTCTGTAGAACCAATTTTTTCTGGCCCTATAGGCTTTTCCCTCCACATTACAGGGTTTCTCCACTACGAAATAGTATCTATTAAATTTTTTTTTTACGGTCCCTTGAATTTTGTAGAAGAGAGATTCCATCTGTATTTTAAATAAACGCCAGAAGCAATTACAGTATTAGAGAATATACGGTACATGAGATGGATCTCCGCCTTTTTTTTTTTTGGGATATCTCTTACTTTTCTTCTTTCAGGAATCTGTTCTCACATAGGATCACCAGCAATTTCAACATGTTTCCGCAAGTGAAATAATAATCGACGTAACTACTGTACCTCTGCCAAAGTGGTCGACTGAAGTCCTTGCGTACACGGCGAGTCAAACAGCCAAGACACGGAGACATTGCTAACCCTTCCAGCATTCCCGCAAGGATCGGAAATAGCAACTCCCGGCGTCGATTTGGCATAAAGTAAGGCCAAGTATCGCCGATGCGATTCATTTATTCCGAAACAAGTGAAACTTCGAGAAAATATGCGATAAGAGTGTCCGAAAAGCCGCAAATTTGCTTCGTCTTTCGGATCTGCAATCGGTGTTCCCTCCGTCACTTCAAACGTGATTTGCGTAGAGGCACCACCCATATCCATAGCACCGTATGTTTTCCGCTTCGGTGGGAACTTTCCGGGGATATCCACGTCCTAAATGTGTATATCAATTGGAATTAATACATGGGCACTTGGGGTGTTGACCGTCTGATCAATATCTCACGTCGTCATAGAGGTAAAGAACATCCTTCAAGTGTCACTAGGTAGGCAGTTACGGAAGAAGTACGGGGCACTATTAGAGCGTAGAAACGTTTCTGTTAGGGCTCCTCGATTCCCTTTAGGACCACCGAAGGTATTCGTTGACGCTGCGCTCTGGTTTCACCATCCTACACGCAATAAAAATCAATTTTTTTTTACCGAATTGACTTTTTTTTCTTTAAAACACAAATGTAGAAGCCCCACGTCTGTAAATTGTTACGCAGTGTCACAGACCAGTATTAAATTTTCTACGCAGGATTGGCCAACTAAAAAAAAAAAAGAACAGCGAGGATTTCACATGAAGATGATTAGACATACACGAACTCGAAACTCAGAAAATTTGCCATGTAAATGTTTTAACTCAAAGACACTTGAGCAAAAAATCTCCGGACGGGCATGACATGCAGATGATTTGACTTACAAGGATTTTAAACTCAGATCTGGTCTGACTACGCTTCAACGCAAATACAGTTTGCCTACATTTCCAGGAAAAATGTATGCATATACTCAAGTATTAGAAGCTCTCAAGTAAAACACGCACCAACTTTTTTTTTTGCTGAAATTTCTATAAAAAGACCATCCCACCAGACGCGCAACATAGTTTTCATTTATCAAAATTCATCTTCTATGAAGTAAAATTAATAAAAATTACACAAAATTTAAATACTGTACAACTATACAAGCCCGACTTCAAACTTGAATCCAATGTTGATGTTTTCGTCTCATGCAAATAATAGAATCATTAAACAAGAGAACTATAAAAAAGTTAGCATGGAACATTTTTAAAATACTGAAGTGTCACTTGAAAATTTGCACCTCATTATAAATTGCATCAGTTTCCCCCGTCCCTAGAAAAAAAAGTGCAGTGAACTTGGTGCTTGCAAAGGTATGGTATTTTTCAAAATATTGCTACTTCTTCAACATGGGCAAAATTTGAAATATACTGCAGTACTGTAAGAATTCATGGTACTTTCCTGTTATCTCTGTACCTTCCCTCTGACCAATTTAACCTGAGCTAACCTAACTTCACCTAACCACCTCCCAAAATCAGTTTCTGCTTTCTTTGGGTTTCTTCATGATAGTACAGTACTGGTAAAATTTATGTGCATTGAAAAAAGCTTCTTATACTTTCTGGTAGGTTGTTGTGATTATGAACTCGTCCTGAAGATTTGTCTGGATGGTAGTCCGGTCTAGGACTCTCCTATATTGTGCTCCTATTTTTGGGTTTTTTTCCTTCATCAACAGTGCACAGTATACCAATATTAATTCTTTTGTGTCCTTGACTCCTTTTCATGCCAAAAGGTGACATTTGGCGTAGTTTTCTGAATCTTAGTAAAGAAAATTTTCTTTTTTTAAAACTAAATACCTCCATTTCAAATATTTGAGTATTGAGTTCAGTTCACAATTGTCCGGAATTTTCTTCATCAGGTTAGTGATTCAGGCGAGGCACAAAAATATGATGTGGTAGGAGTTGAATATTCACCCAAATTATGGACTTACTGCAAAAGCCGCATTCCCGCTGTTGCTCCCAAATAGATGGGGGTCGAAAACCGTTCCTTCTGCGGCAATTTTTTCCGTATTTCATTCATGCACGGCTCGAAATATTCGGACACAGCCACGACTGACACATTTACCCCAGTGAGTCCACCTATCAACCAAAAATCAAAATACATGCGCGCTTTCGAACAACCATAATTCAGAAAGTATAAGAATCTTTTTTCAATGCATATAAATTTTACCAGTACTGTACTATCATGGTCGAAGAAAAATATTGCAACCAATTTCCAATCACTTTGGGCATGTAAGAAAGCTCGTTCCTATCAGGTGAAATAAAAAAAATGCACCTGTTTTAAGATCACTCGACACACTTCTGCCTTTTCAACTGTAAATTATGGTTCATTTTCAATTTAGTTCACAATAGAACGCAGTACACGATGGTTCCTAACATAGCCAAATACAGTATTTTATATAATTTCAAGTGGACGAAATGATGAGTATTTTTTTTTAAATATATTTATCGGGAAGACTATAAGAGGATCGAATAAGTTTTAAACGGCAACTTTCGTAGTATGACAAGGCCGCAGAGATGAGGAATTTATTTTATCCTTGGTTTCTTGCCTACGTGCACTTTGTTGGTCTACCCTGGAACGCTGGCATTCATCACACAAAACGTTCACAGTCAAGCTCCATCAAGACGTCTCTTGATAGACTGCCACCCTACGCAAACGCCAATTTATTTAGAAAACGATCTTTCACTAACGATATTTCTTAACTTTTGGGGCAATTTTGCTGTAGACGGTGCTAATGATCCTCTGCCGAGTTTATACGAGGACAGTTAATTAAACCAGAACCTCGGGTGATTGTTCTAAGTTCAAAGACGTTTTCTAGAGACAATTATTGGGAACATCAGCTATACGATTTACGCATCCCAGGGGTACTTTCATTGTTTCCCAGGATAAAATCAGAATTTAATATCCTATTACATTGTACTTGATATTCATGTTTCTTTAGCTTTTTGGATAAAGCACCAATCCCATTAAACCGTCACAAACCTCACGAACAAATGGTGGCGGCTTATTGAGGTTTGACTGCAGGACATATAAGATTTCATTTTAAGGAATAAAAGAAGTACAGTACTGTACTTGAAATGTGAACCAATATTGAGCTCAGATTTTTTGAGAAGCTCATGCTCATCTCATTTTTGCAGCAGGCACTTCAAGTCAACGTTGATCCTTTTTAAATCAAATTTAAAAGGACCAACAACAAAATTTGACTCAGGTAGGTTTCAAGTTGGGAAGACTACCATTTATGCATATGCCTTGAAAAATATATGATTAACGTGGAGTTTCAACTCGGATGCAAGGGTTAATATTCCCAACGTTTCTTTCACTTCCTTTTCAAAAAGAAGCATGAAGTTACATTTTACTACTGTTCTTTTCTCTTCAGTAGGTCACAAAATTAAAAGCCAGAATGCCTCCCGAAAATTTCAGCAATAGAGGTTTGAGGGGGAAAGCTTTCGAGTTGAAGTTTTATTATGTAACAAAGTTTCCCCTAAATCTGTGTCTGATAATGACATAATGTGTGGTAAAAATTACCCCGTCATTTCGAAAACTCTGTGCTGTGGTCACGGTAAGGCGACTAGAGGACGGGTGACCATGAATGCCACACGACTGCCGGAGGATCCAGCGTCAATCACGACTCCGTACTGGAAAAATCCCGGTTTTTGGTGAGATGTCCTTCCGACATAAATACGCAATTCAATCTCACATCAAATGGAATCGGGACTCTCTGGAAGAACGTAAACGGGGCCCAGACAAGCCCACCGATGCCAACAAGGATGGCCGAGACGGAAAGAAATAGCCACCAACGTTTTTCAAATGTGAACAAGGACCGATAATTATCTAGATGAAAAGCAGACTCGAGATTGATTCATCCTAATGATCACTGTCTGAGAATAAATAAATAGGAACCTGCAGTTCCAAGGAAGACGTCTTCGCCGTCAGTCAAACCGCTCTCGGCAACTGTGTCATCCGGATCCAAAGCTAAACCATTATTCCCATACAAAACTAGATTGCCCGGCTTTCCAACATTCTGCATTAAAAAAAAATTTCATGAACAATCGAAGATGGCAGTTGAAGTAGCAACAGACCTTGAGACGCAAAAATTCATCTGTCACAGCCTCTACTTTGTCTCCGGGGTCAACATTCATGCAAGTCCAGCCGGATAGCGGCCCAGACAATGTACTATGCACTTGTATTTGCATAACAAAATAAAAAATTCTGGAACATTAAAAAACAGCAAGAATACAGAAGATTTTCCCAGTTTTCCGCTCAATAGTGCAGCCTTGCAGCTATAGCCTCTACCGACCTTTCGGAATTGGACATCGCACACTCACCGTATCCACCAAGTTAGTGGAGAATTCAGCAGATATCTCACTTTACTAATTTTTATTGCTTCGTCAATGAC